TGTGGGTCTAGTTTTGATCTCCAGCACCAAGAAAAGTAAATAAATAAAGGACATAATACATATGTACCAAAGTTAACTTGAAATGATAGTCTTTTTAGTCAACATGGTATACCTATTTACTTTTTTGATTTATATACTTCATTGCTAGGTAAGGAAATACATGTATTTAGTTGATTAATGTCTTATCATTAATAAATATTCTATTTAAATATATATAGTATAGCCATATTTGGCCAGGTGATTTAAGACATATGCAAGTATATTTAAAGGAACTGGAAAACTGTGCAGTTTAAACAATAGTGGAGAAATTCTCTACATTTGACATAAAGTATATATCATAGATATTTTTAGTTTAGTAGAAAACTAGTAAAGAAAAAAGACATTTTGAAAATGGAAGAAGCAGAACAATGTGGATTAATATTTGCTTAAAATGTAAATAATCAGTAAAAGTTACTAAAGAGGAAAAGAGTAATATCAAAAGCTCAGTGTTTGTTTTATTTCATTTTATTTTGAGCCTGTGAATGTGATGTATTTTAAAAGTCAATTTAAAAGAACAGAAAAATCTTATTCATTTAGTGAAAGAAAAATTATTAAATACAAAATAATCAATTACTATTTTCTCTTTGTTTTTGTATTTGTTGTTTATTGAATGAAAAACTAATTTGATTAAATTATTGGTGCCTTTTATGATAGAGTTTAGGAAGACTGCAATGTGTTATAGTCCCACTACTGGTAAGTCTGAGCCAGAAGGATTGCCAGGAGTTCAAGGCCAGCCTGAACCACATATGGAGATCCTAAAAAAAAAAAAAAAAAAAAAAAAAAAAAAAATATATATATATATATATATATATATATATATATATATATATATGTATGCATTTTAAATTATTCCAATGAAATCTTTTCCTTAGATTCCTTTTTAAACCAACACAATGGACAAATATTTACTATCTTCTAATCTAATAGCATCAAGTAAAACTTACTGTTTTCACAAATCAGTAGTTTATATGTGTAAAATGTTTCTATGTTTGTTACCAGTTTTTAATCAAGTATATATGCAAATGTTGATTTTTTTTTTTTTGTACCAGGGATTGAACCCATGAGCTCGAGCTTGCCAGGCAGGTGCTTATGTTACTGAGCTAAATCCCCAGCATGCTAATTAAGTTTTGTAGCATAATGATCCTACTACAGATTGGTGACAGCTGACGTATATTTATTTTTAAAAAGCTGATCATATATACTCAGTCATAACTAGTGAACTTGGCTTTATTCAAAATGAAGTTAAATAACTTGCTTTCTTTATGTTGTGATTTTATACTTCGTATGTATTTTTTATTTGCCTTTGAGTTGCAAAGACATTCTTATATCCTATTTTGTACTGACTTTTTATAAGTGAGAAATGGAAAATATAGTCAATTACAGTTAACTACAGTTTAATATTAATGGGCCAGAGAAATGTCATAGACAATATTTTAGCATAATTCAATATTTAAGCACAAAGCAAACAGTATCAAAACAGAGAAAAAGTACAAATATTATATTTTTGAGATGTAATATAACCTTAGGAAATAATAATCACTAGATAAAATCACGATAAGGGTCTGTACTTCATAAATTTGAATATCTTTATTGCATAAACACTCTGTATAATATGAAAATACCAATCCTTATGGACTCTATGAAATGCAAAATTAAATATATGAAAAAATTTGCCAAAGATTTAAATTGTTGCAAAATAAGATAATTGATTACATATCAAATGAAGATTCTTAGAATAGATTTTTTAAGTTATAGATTTCTAACATCCTTGAGAAAGACAAATCTGTTTTGAAAATGTATTTTATGAAATGTTTCATGTTTTAAGATACCCACTATTTACGTACAATAAAAAGAATCCTGTGTTAATGAACTTATAGAAAATTCTAAGGAAATAAACTTGCTTTGCATATGGACTGAAAAAAGCTACTTAACCTGGTCTATTTAGTCTCTTGATAAAAGACTGAGATACTTTATGTGGCTTGCTAGGGGTTTCAGGCTTGGGGGAAAAAAAAAAGAGAAAACTAATAGCAAAAAGGGATTGTGAATGGTAAGTTTAGCAGACTTCTGAAAGGTGAAGGAGCTATATGTGAATGTATTTAGTAATATATACTTAGACCAAGATAGAAAATGAACTAGCAAAAGAATGGCTTTTTGACTGTTTTCGAATGAGGTTCATCATGCTTAGCCTGAATAATGTGAGTGAATTACTGGGTGTTGATTAATCTGAGCTGTGAAAGCTGTGACATAAATGCGTATTCCACAATAACTCTTGTGTTCTTCTTCTTCTGAGAAATATTTGTGGGGAAGAGGCTGAAGAAAGTCTTGCAAGCCTTCAATCTCATATAAAATAGTTGCATCTATTGTTGATGAAAGAGAAATCAATCTGCATAATTAGTGGTGTTGTGGAATTTAGCCAGTGAGGCAAATGATGATCTGAAGGCAAACCAAAGCTTTCATGTTCATGACAGTTATTGACTGACTTCAACACACATACACCCCCAAACACATTGCTTTTTGCTAAGAAATAAAAGTAGAAATGCACCAGAAAGTTTTGATTATTTAGTAGCTACAGAATAAAAGTCTTTGTAAAAGTATTAAAACTACATTTCAGATGTAGTGAAGTGGGAAATGAAGCATTTTTACTAAGTTAAATTTAGTAGATGTAGAGCTTATGTGAGAATAAGAAATTTGAATGCAAGATAATTACAGGTCCCTTTAAAATATTTTATTCCAACTCAATTGTAAATACAGAACTAATGCAGTAATTTGTACATAAAAATGCTTTCTATATTCTAAAATATTAGGTCACAAAGATCCTAAGTGTCTTGGAATCTTATGTAATATATAAAACAAACCTCAAATTTTATCTGTGGTTATAATGGGGATTGAATCCAGAATCTCTTTGAATTGAGCTAAAACCTCAAACCATTTCTATTATCTTTATTATTATTGAGAGGATCATATCAATTGCTCCTTCTGGGCTTGTTTTCCTTCATGGTCTTTCTGTCAGCCTCCCAGGTGCTGGGATTGCAGATACATTGCAATCCTTCTCAGATTTTTATTTTTCAAGATAGTTCATGAATTATTTGTCAGTGTGCTATGTAAAAATACAGTACAGATACTATTATGTTAAACTACACTGAAAGGTCGGACCAGATTTTTCATCAGCATGTTCAGTGTAGCATTAAAGATTAACATTTTTTAATTTTTAGATCTCATACCACTTAGAGAGCATTCTTTAAAGATTATCTACATAAAATTTTCAGTTAGGAATATCACTGGAATAAGGACTGGAGTCCTTGGTCCTCAATTGTAAAATATTACAATTTATAAATTCTTACAAGGAGGAAGAATTTAGGTTGAATTGTGTGAAATAGGGAGTAATTATTCAAAAGGAAATGGAAACTGGAAAGCATGGAAGGGAAAAGAAAAATTAAAAAGAAGCAAAATTTTTAAATAAGGTGAGGAGGGGCTGGGGATTTAGCTCAGCAGCGTAAGCGCCTGCCTTGCAGGCGAGTGGTGAGTTCGATCCCAGGTACCAATAAAAAAGACAAAGACAAAAAATAAATAAATAAATAAGGAGAGGAAGAAAGGATGGAGAGACGGGAAAGCTATGAGGAAAAAAGAAGAATCAAGATATATTATGCAAAGGTTTCAGGTCCCTATGATGGATGTGATCATTGTGTATATAGAAACTGTACCAATAGACAATTTAAATAAAACAGTTCATTTTTACTATAATTCTCTAATCTGTTATAAATCTGTATCATTATAATGAAAGTAATAGTACTGTTTCTTTTTCAGTTACACTTATAAATAACAAAAGATAAAGCAGTGAATTTTGACTAAAATTTTTTTTTCTGTAATTATAAAGTTAGAAAAACTAGTTACAGAGTGTCAAATGACATTGCACTTAAAATTTACAGTTAGTATCTGAAGAAGTCCATCCTTTGTAATAGTAGTAATTATTATGTTATTTTAGAGGCAGCATGTCAGATCATGCTTCTTATAACTGAATTTGTAAAGACAGTAAACATTTACTGTGATTAATTACTGAGGTACATATCAGATATTTTTCCTACCATCAGTGGGAAAAATGCAGCATCAATGTTGACCTGAATGCTATTATAAAGATATTTTTAATAACACTTATAAATGCCTGCCTCTCATGTTTTTGAGGATATGTAAAAAATAAAATTATTAAGAAACTGAACTTTAGGAATATTTCATTGTCATATTCAATTTAATATCATGAAAGTGTGCATTGAGGGTAATTTATGCTATGCTTTGAAATTTTATTTTTCTTACAGAACTTAGTGACTTGTTTATTGCAAGCAGTGCATTTCAGTAACAGTTCCAACATGTCAAAAATGTGCAGCATATTCACTTTTTGCGATGTAATTAGTTAGAAATTGAGGAAGCTTAATTTTAAAATTGAATTGTTTTTGAAAATCTATTTTCAGACTCTCCATAGCTTAAGCAGTTTCTCTTCATAAAATGCTTTATAGTTGTTTAAAGAAATTAGGTGTAGTTAATCAGAAAGAACATTACAGTTTGACACCTAATTTGAAAGCCCTGTCTTGAAGTAGTGAGTGATTTCTTATGGCATTACATATACCACTAAGAACCCAAATAGGAAATCCATTTATGCCCAAAGTAGATCTCAGCATTGATTAAACCAGGGTGATACTGTTTTTATGGAAGACATATTTCATAAAAGCATATATGTTTGTGAAAATATATAGTTCACTGTTTAGTTGAGTAGATTAAGGTAGTATAATAACATCACAGTGGATTCTTCTATTATACATAAGAGGCCGTATCAGTGTCACTAAAGATACTTTACTGTGAAACTGGAAATGACTATCAAGTTATTAAGCTTAGCACAATAAAAGTGATAAAAATAAGGTCTCAAAATGGTGTTGCTGAAAGCATTTTCATCTCTATTTATTTTCCTTCAGTGCCGCCAGCAATCACAATGCCTCAGAAATCCTTTAATGCCACTGCTGAGAGAGGAGAAGAGATGACTTTGTCCTGCAGGGCCTCGGGCTCTCCAGAGCCCACCATCTCCTGGTCCAGGTAAACTAAACCACCATGTCCTTCTGCCTTTTGCCTGTAATCAGGAATAACATTTGACATCTTAACATTTTGTCAAGAAGCAGACCATTAGTTTTAGTTTCATGTATAAACACTGTGGTCTTTTGTGCAGGTAAGTTGGTTGCATTAAATAGCTAAAGAGATCGACCAGCTCATCTTGTTCTAAATTTCTCAGTGAAAAGATAGATAAGATAGATTAATAGTCCTTATTTTGGGTATATTCACATAGCTCTGGCCAAAATGGTGCCAAAATCCCTGTATCTGTTTCAGTCATTTATCGTTATTGCTACAATGTGTCTTCTAAAAGAAATCCTAGGATCCCATCGTAATTGTTATATGTATGTAGACTTTATTAGAATGTAATTAATCACATCTTCTATTCAGGTACTAAATTACATAAAAAGCTAATTTTGTGAACATAAAATGCCATGGATTAAATTTGTCATTTTTCAAATGTTCACCTTCTCAAATGAGTAAACTTTGTATTGTAAATCTATTTTTACAGCGTTAACATATTTATTTTTGTTTAGAAATTTAAAATGCTTTCTATTAACATCAAGCATGCAGTATTCAATTCTTTTACACTGTGGCTCAAACAACTAAATTGAAGTTAAATAGATAATCTTGTAAATATGCTTTAGTAGTACAATTTAGTACATGGGTACAAAAATATTTTAATATCGATTATATTTAGATATTACTTATTTACTACCAGGATCCTTTCCTGTAACTAGGTCATTAAATGAATTGGTTGCTCAATGAGGAAATGCATATGGTATGTACATTATAATATTCAGATTGTGGAGATACAGCTCAGCAGCACAGCACCTGCCTTGGGCAACACAAGATCCTGAGTTCAATTCCCAGTACAAGAAAATTAAAAAAAAAAAAAAAAAAGAAAGAAATAAAGAAACAACATTCAGAACAAAGAAATGTGGTGGGGCACTCCTGTAATCCCAGCACTTGGGAGGCTTAGGCAGGAGGATCTTTGCAAGTTTGAGACCAAACTGGGCTACAAAGTGAGCCTAAACTGCATAACAAAACCTGCCTGAACTGCATTGAGAGACCCTGTCTCAAAAAGACAAAAAATGAACAAACAAACAAACAAGCAAACAAATAAAAAAGAAATGATTGACTGAGACTCCAGCATGTTGATTGGGGCAGACTAATAACTATAGGCCAACTTGTAATACTAACTGAACTGAATCAGCATGATGCTAAATGTCAATGGCCCACCTGAGGATTGCTGTGGAGATAAAAAGGGAAAACTGGAGAGAAAGAAGTAATGTTGGTTTTACTCAGTGCTATTGTTTCTCTTGTTACTGTGAGGTCTCCTGAAGTAGTTTGAGCTTCTTTTCTGGTATCAGTTTGGTTGTATTCATCGTCAGAGATGCTCAGGGCCTCCTTGTTACTGAGGATGGCTGCGGTTCACTTTGGAGGAGCTCTGGTCTTTACTCCTTCCTGGCTCCAAAGGGGAGGATGTGTGCTATTTGGTCTCCAGCAGAAGCTTATCATGCTGGCTTCCTGATGTGAGCTTGGCTGTTCTCATCATCGGAGGAGGTCAGGGCCTCATTAGGATGGCCATGATACTTTTTGGGGGAACCCTGGTCCTTACTTTGAGCGTTGCCTCCTGGCTCCTGGGCAGAACCCTCCGCCTACTGGCACAGATTCTTCATCCCACTGGCACAGACTTACTGCTGACCTTTCCTCTGCTGACCTTTGGCTTTCCCAGCACAGACTTCAGTGAGTCTTGTCATGGCTCTAGATCTTCGAGACTCTTGCAGGACCCTGTAGTGGGATCCAGGCCCTCAGCTGGATTCCTTGGGTCTTAGTGTGTGGACAGATTTTCTGTTCTTCCTGTATTTAATTAACTCTTTGGGTGACTACTTTAAAATAATACTCTAAATTATATGTCCTGTATGTAATCATTTTCCTTGCAATCCCTGACTATAGCAATGACTTTGCTTTTATTTGTATAACTTTTCCCTGTAGTACTGTAATGTATAATAGAACATAAAATTAACAGTACTGTAATGTAACCATCCTAAATTGCCACACTGTACAAAGTGTGGTATACAGAAAAGACATTGAGAATGTATAGCCAAGATGTACAGAATGTACAGGAAAAAAGGAAGATGGGGCATAAATTTAAGCTGTGAGTCCTAACTCTGAACAGCGCACTTCTGTCATAGTCTAAACAGCTGGTAAACAGAGATTCCTCATTTTGTTAAATGAGGAATGTCTGTATTTTAAAAAATCATAAAATTCAAGAAAAATCATAACAAAGCTATTGGAAAATACATATCAAATGAAAAAAGGTGGCTGTAATAAATATGAGGCTTGTAAAAATATTTTAAAGGAAATTAAGCTCTGGAACTTATTTTTCATTACTTTCTGTCTTGAGTATTTACCAAAATCTTCAATTTTCAAACCTATCCTTTTTACTCATTTAATATGTCAGGTAGCAATAAATTAGCTATATCTCCAACCAAGGTGCTGTAGTTGCTCTTTCCTAATATTAATTCGTTGTTTTGAGGTTTTCAATGGATTACATATTAACATTAGCATAATGACTCCGGATAATAATCATATATCTCAAAGACCCTTGGTTTACTAAGGTGGATTGGGAACAGCTGATATTGAATCTAATTGTATCACAGAAAAGATTTTTTTTCTTTTCTTTTTTTTTTTTTTTTTTTTTTTTTTTTTTTTGTGACAGGGTTTCAGTATACTGTTCAGACTGGCCTGGAAGTCACTTTGTAGCCAGGCTGGCCTCGAACTCACAGCAATCTTGCCTAAGCCCCCCAAGTGCTGGGATTACTTAAAGTGTGCACCACGACACCCTGTGTAACAGAAAGTCCTTGAATCATTCCTTAATGTTCTAGGATGTTATTCAAATGAGTTCATATGTCCAGAGAGACTTATTTTCTGCTTAGATTGTTTTATATTTTATATTTGATTAAAATTATTTTGTTCTATATAATTGGCAATTTAAGGGCTGCAAAAAATTACATTGCAGGATAAGAGTAATTTATATGTATAATTTTTCATCTCTTTCTGTCATTACTTTCTTTTTTTTTTTTTTTTGTCTTTATTTTGATATGGAGTCTCCCTGTGCAGTTCATGCTGGCCTAGAGCTGGCCTTGAGCTCACTTTGTAGCCCAGGCTGGTCTGGAACTCGAAATGATCCTCCCACCTCAGCCTCCTTAGTGCTGGGATTACAGGCGTGAGTCACCACGCCCGGCTTTGTCATTACTTCATCCGGGTTGTATGGAATCCTAATTAATTTAAGTACTTTTATTTTGTGTATGTAAATATGTATTTAGAGAATGGCAAAGAGTAGTTGTGATATTTACAGAGATAACGTCAGATTTTGATCTAAAATTGATTCTATTACTATAGCTTTGTAGTACACACCAATCCCTTTGTCATTTGGGGAGCTGATCCACATACATAGTACATCTTAGTTCATTTTTTATCCCCTTCCTCACTCCTTCCTCCCCTCTTTCCTTCATCCTTTGGTCCCCTTCCTGTTTGTAGATCAGGAAGTAGGCAGATAGATCTTTTGATAAAATTAGTTTTAAAAGGAGATTTTTGTATTATCCTCTTTATCTATATGTATAGACATTGTATTTGTGGAAGAAGACAAGTCCCTGTAAGCGTTAGGGAACAGAGGTTAGTAGACCTAAAGAAAGATCCAGAGTGCCCACTGCAAAAATACTGCCATGTAATGTGAGTGTAGCCCATTGTTTTAGTGACCATAGGTGGCTGTATCAAAGTAACACAGGCTCCATGGCTTGCGCAACAGAAATAACTTTTTTTATAATACTGGAGGTTGGTCATCCTACATCACGGTGACAATCGAATCTCCCTTCTTGGCTTGCAGTACCCCATCTTCTCACTTTATCCTTTCCTGGTCTTTTCTCTGTGTGACAACATTGGGGAAAAAAATCTCTTGTATCTTTTTCTGTCTTTTAAGAACACCAGATCCATCAGAGGAAGGGCTCACCCATATGACTTTATTAAACCCTTATTAATGAATTTCTTAAAGGTCCTCTCTTCAGATGTAGTCCCTTTGATGATTGGAGAGTCACAGTTGAAATTTGACCAATTTAGAATATAACCCCAGTAGAGAAGATAGTTAAAGGATAAAAAGAGTGAGAAGTTACGCAAATTATTCACAACAGGAATCAGGAAACACTAGTGACATGTAAATCAAATTAAAAATTAAATCAGTTACTGCAATGTTTCTCCATTCAATTTTTATATAATTGAAACTACCTTCAAAATTTGTATTGTTAGTCCATCAATTTGGTGAATTTTATAGATTTTATAGGTCAATAACTAAAATCTCAGGTGTGTTGTTAATATTCCTCTTTTGGAACAAATGAATAATTCTATTGAAAAAACTCAGATATTACATCACTGATTGTGTGAGGACCATATCTATACATTAAATTCTAGACAAATGTCTTAAAAGGCTGTTGATTTTGTATTTGTTGTAAATTTTAGATTACTAAATATTTTAAAAATACGTAACTAAAGGATAATAGATATACATTGTTGTTATTATTTCATAAGACCTAACTTCCCAGTTCTTCATGTCTCTTATGAATTGCTTGATGTTTCATGATATATTGAGGGAACGACATGAGAAACTTGGAAAATATATGTGGAGGCATTGGAAAAATCAGAATTATTGTGCAATGATAATGTGCATCAGTCTTTTCTTGAAAATGGAACCAGAATTCTAGGAAAGTTTTATGATGCATCAAAGCAATGTTCTCTTTAATTCTAAGAAAATTGCTTTTAATACAACTTTTAGAGATTTCTCTTTGAATTTAAGCATATGAAAAAGCAAATTTCCATACCAATAAGGAAAAATCTAAGACACTTTGTATGAGTAAGTCTTAAGACAAATTTAGTCATCCAAACTATTATTAGGAGAAAAATATAGGCTGAGAGCTAAGAAAGTAATGAAAGCACAGTACACAGAATAGGAGAAAGAGTTTAATAAAGAGAAATGAAGTAAATATATAAGAATATTTTATAATATTGAGGGCTAGTTTTAGAAGTATTTCAGATATTTCTATATCTAAAATGTTTTTACTATAGAGTAGAAAATGTAGAAAGTGCCTATTTTAAGATGACATATAATATAATTCAAACAATTACATTTAGAATCTATTCAGGGTACTTGGAAAATATTATTTATGTAGAATAGGAAACAATTTTTCCTCTTTGTTTAATAATGATATTAATATAATTTTTAATTACTTTTTCCTTATATAATTCTATTGTCATGCTTTTATTGTCAATATGTATGTTCAGCATAAATTTATAAAACGTTTATGTTTTATTACTTGAAATTTTTAAAAGGGATGATTCAGTAGAGATTACCTCAAATATGTCCTCAGGTAAAAAATATGTATATATAATAAATAAATGTTGAGTTAAAGTATAAGTGGAAAAAATAAGCAAATAAAACAAATAATCAAAGTGCAAATTAAATCACTGTGTATTTTAGTTACCTGACTACTGTCAAAATTTTAAGAGCTACCAAATGATACTCTTATCTTTAAAGTCAAAACAGTGTTAGAAAATAATTTTGATATTGATAAATTAAGTATCTGAGCTAGAGAAAATATATTATATAGCAATTCCTATCAATGAAATAATTAAAATATATAGTAAAAAGTTGAATATGATCTCCAGAGCTGCAAAGTCAAAGCATGAAAATATTTTTTTTTCAGAAATGGAAAGATCATTGAAGAAAATGAAAAATACATATTGAAAGGAAGTAATACAGAACTCACCATCAGGAACATAATGAATAGTGATGGTGGACCTTATATCTGTAGGGCAAGAAATAAGGCAGGAGAAGATGAAAAGCAGGCCTTCCTACAAGTCTTTGGTAAGTGTTATAGCACAGTGGTTAAATTTCCAAACTAAGAGAAAAGTTTGAGTAAACTTATACTCTGCTATTTTTAACTTTTAAATCTCCATCATTAAATTTCATCCTCCACATTGCGAAAAAAAGACACCATTTTTCAGCTGCCAAATGAAATTTATCTTAAGAACTATATGAAATTATACTTGTAAATTTTATGTGATTTTAGGTGTTCAATAAGTAAAGTTGAAAAATATGTAGAATAATGTTATAATTTAGAAACAAAAGTCTTTTACTTTGCTTTTCTTCTGTTCCTCTTTTTGAGACAGGGTTTTGCCATACAATTCAGTCTGACCCTGTACTCACTTTGTAGCCCATACTGGTCTCAAACTCGCAGTGATTCTCCTGTCTCGGCCTCCTGAGTGCCTGGATCACTGGCATGAGCCACTACACCTGGCAACTTTTTATTTTATTAAAATAAATTATAATTATAAATTTCACAAAAGTTATATAATTTGGGGAAACTTATATAGTGTAGAGAATTTATAATTTTTTGAGAAAATTAGATGTTTATCATTATGCCTGTGATAAGAATTTAGTGATTAGTACAAATGATTTTTCTTTTTAAAAAGTGTGATAACAATTATATATATATATATATATATATATATATATATATATATATATAAAATTACTAATATTTAGGGGTTTTTTTTTTCCTTCTTTGAGAACATTGGCTTTGTATCACTTTCCTGTTGCTTGGACAAAATTCCCAACACTCCCAACTTAAGGGAGAAGAGGCTTATTTTGTCTGTTTCAATAGATAGAGACCATGGTCAGTAGCCCCAAAGGCAATAACAACTTGGTAGAGGAAAATTTCTCATGCCATAGAGCACACGAAGCGGGGAGAAGAGAGGAGGTAGGGATAAAAATACACCTTCCAGGTCCTCTTCTTAGGATCCCACCTCTTCCAGCTGGCTTCTGAACAGCATAGTGGGTTATAAGCTTATCAATGGACTGATCAACACTGAGTTGCCCCATGATCCATTCGCCTTCTAAAAGTGTCACTTCTGAATTTGGGAGATATTGGGTGATATTTTAGAATGAATCCATAACATTCTACTCCTGGTCCCCTAAGGCCTCACATTAAATGAAATGTATTGAATGTATCTCTTAGAGTTGCCAAAGTCTTAACAGTGACAGCACTAGAGAAAAGTCCATGTCCAGTGTGTTGTCTGAGACTCATGGAAAACTCTTTATCTGTGAGCTAGTATTAAACACCAAATACAAGTACTTCCCACATACAGTAACACATGCTATGCCATTTCTGAACCAAATGGGAGAGATAGCAGCATAGATAGATACTGAATGAAAGCAAGACCAAAACCCATCAGGATAAACATTAAATCCTGTCATTCCCTGTCCTGTTTCCAGAACAGGTTTTGGTGAGATGTTGGCCCTAGATGGCAGGAGTAGTGCCCTCTCGACATCATTGTTTGTTGAAGCCCATATGTCCTCTCTTTTGGCTCCGATTGTAACTCATGCTCTCTTTGGAAGCGATTCCATCTTCCTGGCAGGTTCTGAGGCCTCCATTTCACCTTCAGCTTCAGTTGCTCAGCTACATGCACCTTCTCAGGGGCACCTGGCAGGTACTGTGACCCTGTCACACATTTTTGCCATCTTGGCCCTTTCTGAAGTACAGGTGGAAGCCTTTATGCATCTAAACCATTTGCATTCTGCATTACTGCCAATGCAGGAGCACCTGGGTGACGTCGTGTTCTCCTGCTGGTGTAGTAGCCAGAGCCTCTGCAATTATGCCTGGAACGGCTCCTGAGTGATTGGGTGGTTGCCCTCTAGATTACTGAACTGTAGAAATCACTTTGCTCTGTATCCTTGAAAGTGAAGAGCTAAGCCTTTTAAAGCAGTTTATGCTTTTAAAATGTTTGAGCCTTCAGATAATTGTATCTGGCCCAGTTCTGAGAGACCTTCAGTCAATATTTCCTATTGTCTTTATGCCTAGTAACTGGCTGTTTCTCAATGCTGATCTTTTGAACAACTACCCACCTCCTATGCCCCAATTTCCAAGTGATTCCTTTCTGGCAGAACTGCCGATTTTTCATATCTTTAGGCTCTTTGGTCCTGATTGTCACTATAAATCAGTTTAAAGTGGTTAAAAGTCCCCATATACAGCCAGAACTTTGGGCTGCTTTAACAATCCTTCAATCAGGTTAAGGGTAAATAATTTTGGCAGCCAGAAATTAAAGGAAGTCATCGACTTGTTCTAATGGTATTTATCACTTGAAAATATTTATTAGACTAAATTCTACTCAACATAAAAAACAGAGATGAGAGTTTATGACTTAATTACAAAGAATAATGTTGACAGACTACTTCCATAAGCCTATATGAAACCGTACACAGTTACATCTATTTTTATTAGGATGCCAGTAAATGAGGAAAAGACATAAATGGAAGATCTTGTAATACTTTCATCCTTTCAAATAAAAAATCCATAAAGTATTAGCTTCAAGAGTTATAATCAGTTTTTTAATATTATGGGAAAATTCTTATTTTGTCACAAAATCACACAATATATATATATATATATATATATATATGTATATGTATATATATATAGAGAGAGAGAGAGAGAAAGAGAGAGAGTATATGGAGTAAACAGTAATATTCAAGAACTCTATGTGGCATATTTCTAATTGAATATTATTTTGTGAAATTAAAAACAACTTCTATTCCTGATTTGTATCAAAATATTGGAAAATTATACTTGTACTTCAGTCACAAATTCTGGCTTTCAGAGTTTTATTCATTTCATAGATTAACAACTAAACAGCTAAAAAACACAGACAAGACAATGTTGAGAAAAGGTTTTCTATCCCATTCTTTGCACCTCTCTGGCTTCTCCTATAAAGCAAAGCGTGCCAGTGTAACTGCCACAGCGGCATCATATACTACATTATTATGGAGTTAAGTGGATAATGTGGATTTTCAGCCTGCGTAATATAATTTTACTCCAGTGTCAATTGAGTAATGTATATATTTTTTACAGTACAGCCTCACATAATACAGCTTAAAAACGAGACTACGCATGAGAATGGTCATGTCACACTCATCTGTGAAGCGGAAGGAGAACCTGTTCCAGAAATCTCTTGGAAAAGAGCTGTGGATGGCATCACATTTTCTGAAGGTGATAAGGTAACAGCAGCTCCAGTATAATAGATTCCAGTTATGTTGTAATTTCCAGAATTTTAAACATTAGTAAATCTTTCATTACTCTGTAAGAGCAAGTAAATTACATAGATCAAAGTTTTAATTTTTCAAAAGGTTACTCCACTATAGAGTCAGCATAAAATAACTTCAGAGGAGAAAATATAATTTGGAAATCAAATTATAGTTGTTTGATTATTGATGTTGCCCTTTAGGTTGTTTTCAAGACTTTTATAATACAATGAATCTTTAAAAGATGTTATTATAAATTTAAAATTCCACTTTTTGTTGTACATACAAAATAGTTTGATATTTAAAAATTCTGACTATCATTTAACCTTTTAATGTGTTTAATTGTGTGCATGCATTTGAAAAGCAGATGTCTGCTTTAATATAATTCAGAATTTAAAAAACAAAAATAAGTACAAGTATGGCATTTTGGTAGCATTTCACCGGAATGTATCCAAGTTACCTAGAAATCAATTAAGCCTGACCATATGTTTATTACATTACAGGAATTTTTATCACTTTTCAACTGCAAATACTCACAAAAATAAGAGTGATAATGAAATGATTATGTAATGACATGGTGGGACTTATATTTCACATTAGTAAAGATTATAAAACTAGTCTTTCAGATGACTTTACTAGTATTAAAGTTTTTCATTTAAATTAATTTCCACAAAATGTCTGATTTCCAAAACATAACTCAGAACTAATTGGCCCTGGTAAAGTGACTGTAGAAAGACTTGAAATTCTATTTTAAAAGCATTTTTTATTCTTTCAATTTATCATGACATATGTAAAATATGCTAGTCTTATAAACTGGCATAATGGGATCATTTTCTTGACTGTATAATGCATCGTTTCTTTTTGTGTCCTATATCCTCTTCTTTGGGTAATACTTTCAATATCTCAGTATATTTCTTTTTATATTTTGAATTTAAAGTTCAAATTTTTGGAATGTGAATCACAGTCATATGGCCACTGAAAAGTTTATTATAGAGTTTGCTTTACTGTTTTCTTAAGTGAAGATTATAGATGTTGTTATGGCATAATTGTCAAAGCTGAAAATATTTAAAATTTCATGGTTAGTAAACAGAAAATTAGACATCTAAAAATTTAAAGAATTGTTTTCAGATGCATTAGAACATATTTCTGTGGATTAGACTACTAAAGAGCAATTATTTTCTTATTTAAGCCCTTACTATTTATACTTTTACTTCCCTGTTATTGTATTTTTCAACTATTTTCCTGTCCAGTGAAGAATTTCAAGTTTTAAATTGGCTTTCATTCTGCATTTGAATAATGTTGTCATGTAGATTCTGAGAATGAGATCCCTATTCTATTCAATTACTGCAACAGTGAAAAGTTATCAAGGGACTACAAAGTGAGGGTATTTTATTCTAGCAGCTATTCCCTGGGCCACACCAAATCACACACAGGAAGTTCTAGCTGTATAAACAACCCTGTAGATTCTGTTTGCTAATAATCAGATCTAATGACACATATTTAAATATTTTGTCTTGGATTATTTTTCAAAAGCAATTATAGAAACTCAAATATTCTTTTTCTTTAAATTTCATCCATTGGTAAAAAAAATTAAGGCTATTGATTTTCTGTTATAGCAATTCTCCAAAATTATTTTAAAATTCATGACTTACATTCTGGATACCAATGAGTCATTTTTCTTCTAATATTTCTTCTTTTTTCAACAGAAATAATTCAGAAAATGTATAGTTGAAAGCATAAGTTGAGGCATAAAGAAAAGAAAATCTCATTTTGAACTTCAGCTTTGCATTTATTATATTTCAGCTGCAATAAAAATTATTAAATTGTTAAATACGAGTTTCTTCACTTTTTAAATGCTTAAAAGAATATTTTCTATATTTTTATTAGGAGCAGGAATAATACTATTTAAAATGTGTGTCAATATGTTTAGCATAAGCATTGGATAGATGCTTTTTACCTGTGTCATGTTACAATTTCGGAAGCACAATTTACCTTGTTCTTATCCTGAAGAAATTCTGATTGCTGGTAAACCTCCTCATGTCAGATATATAAGATCTGACTGAATATTATCTGTTGCAGATTATACTGTGATAATATCAGACATCATAAAAGTGGGTTTATAACGTATTTCCTATAAGAAATAGTAGAAAATCCTTCTGTCATGCGGATGTCACCCCAGTGTTAGCTCAAGATTTTAGATTTTTGGGGGAGAGGTAACAAATTCACAATCTCATCCTTACCAGTCAAGTGTTGAGCTACTGAACTAAATCCTGGCCCTTGAATATACTTTTAATCATCATTTGCGGTCATATGAATTCCAGGCCATACTGTGAAAAATAATTCTTAATATTTCAGCAAAGATGAAATTCTGCAGCTAATTCTTTTAACAAAAAAAGAGTCTTAAAAATTCTTTGAACTAATGATTAGAAAGTGCTTGGAAAGTATAGCACCAATAAATGTTACTATGTTGAATATACTAACTCTGAACACACTGCAATTATGTGTATTATAAAGAGAGAAATATCTTCAATGCCATGGACTTCAAAATAATAACTTTATCCATTCCCATGTCAGTATACTCAGTGAATATACTCATTTCTGTGGATTTTTAAAGGGGCCTTTCAATAGTATCATTTTTTTTTCTTATATTATTTCATGATTAGTCATCACAAAAGATTAAGTGGAAATTAGCATCAAATGACTGAAATCTATTCTTACCTTCAGCGAATTCCTACATACTAAATGAATGATTTTTTACTAAACACAAGATTATGATAAATATACCCAACATAATCTCTATTTTGGGGACAGAAATATTAAAGATATCACATGGAGTGGTAAGGAAGAACCAGTGGCCTCTGTGAGAAGGCCATTTTTGAAAAGAGATGAAAATGTGATAAACAAAAATGTATTTAGTTTTTATAGTGCAAATTAAGGGAGCTGGAAAGCCTGAGTATGGTATCGTAGAAGAGCTTGCTTCCCAAAGAATAAATATTAAAAGCGCATGAAAGTGGTAATCACCCAAAAAAAAAAAAAAATATCATGCTGTTCATTCGCATACCCACTCAACATCTTAACTGAATTTGTTTTCAAGTATTCTGATTGTATCAGAAATAATTTCTAAACATAGTGTCATAAAACAAACATTTTCTTTAGCTCATTCATTTGTGGATCAGAAATCAAGTAGGCAAGCTGAGTGGCTGTCATGTAGATTCTCTATCATGCATGCACTCAAGAATTGCCCGGATTTGTAGATGTGACTAGGATCCAGTGTGCTGCGAAGTCACGCTGGTGCACTTTCATGGCTGCCTGTCCCCCACAGGCTGAGGGCAGTAGCTGTGTTGGAGCTGTTTGTTGGTCCTGTCCATCCAAATGGAGCCTCTGCTGCAGGACAGTCTCCAGAGAGTTTCTCCAGTAGGTTGGTAGACTCGCTCCAGAGGGAATATTTCAAGACATTCAGACCAGGTAGATGCTGCACGGCCTTTTCTGAAGCAGCCTTGGAAATCATACACAGTACCACTGCTTTTGCCGCATTATAACTGATGCTAATCAACCATGAGGAAAATCCAAAGCCAAAAAGTTAGGTTACCCTGCTTAATGGAAAAGTACTCTTTGTTCTATTTTTTTTAATTTTCTTTTTTACTTTTAAAATTAAGTTTATAGGTATATTTTAGATATGCATTATCATCACATTCAGCATAGGGAATTTGTACCTGTACATGATATATCTTAATTTGTTTTTTCCTTTCCAATACCCCTACTTTCCATTCAACTTCTTTTCCTCTCCTTATTTACAAAAGCTCTGTTTCCACCCCCCCCCCTTTTTTTTTTCTTTCTCATATTCTTGGCTTTTCTGTTCCTTCCTTTCCTCCTCCTCACTCCCTAATTCTCCTTCCCATTTTAAAAGTAAGATATCAAAAGGGGAATAGATATGTCAAATGGAACCTCAAGTTTTAGTTTTTGGAGAAATCTCCAAAAATCTCCACACTGATTTCCACAGAGGTTGCACCGGCCTACATTCCCACAAACAGTTAAGATGGATGCTATTTTTCCAAAAGCAATGCCAGCATTTGTCATTGGTTGATGATAGGCATTCTTCTGGAGTGAGGTGGAATTTCAGTTTCATTTTAATTTGCATCTCTCAAGTGAGTGAAGATACTGAACACTGTTTCATTGATGTATTTTCTATATATCCATCTTAGAAGTCTCTATTCATTTCAGATGCCAATTTTTGAGATGGGTTGATACATTTGGGGATCTGATTTTTTATTGAGTTCTTTATATATCCTGGATATTAGTCTTTTGAGAAATAACTGGCAAGAATTGTTTTCACACTATGTGGCTTGTCTCTTCACTCTGTTAATGATGACTTTAATGAAATGATACCCCAGTTGTTGATTTTATGTAATATTTCCCATGTGATTGGGATTTTGTTCATGAAGTATTTGTCTATTCTTATGTTTTCAAGAGTTCTACCTATTCTTTCTTGAGCAGATTTAATGTTTCTGCTTTAATATTTAGTTATTTGATGCATTTTGATTTTAGTTTAGTACAGTGAGAGATATGGGTCTACCTTTAGTCATTAGTGTGTGGAAAACTAGTTTTTGCATTCCATTTATTAAAGAGTCTATCTTTCTTCAGAGACATTGTTTGGCATCTTTGTCAAAGGTAATATGACTGAGTGAGTTTGGAGTTGTTTCTGAATCTTTTAATTTGTTCTATTGATCTTATGGTCTGTATTTTGTTTTTTGTTTGTTTGTTTACATAACAATAGATTTGTAGTATATTTTCTTTTTTTTTTTTCTTTTTGGCTTTTTCGTTTTTACCGGTACCAGGGATCGAACTCACAACTGCCTGCTTTCAAGGCAGGCGCTTATGCTGCTGAGCTAAATCCCCAGCCCTGTAGTATATTTTCAAATCAAGGATTGTGATTCTCCCCTGCCTTTCCTTTGTTATCCAATTATTTTTCACACTCT